TAATGCTTGCAGCGGTTTGTGGTTTAGGGTCTGTGGGCCCGGGGTACGATTAAAGGCACACACCACAAGCCCAAAATCAAACATAAGTTTTGTTTTGATGCCAGTGACGTTCAGTGATGGTTGGCAGGAAGAGTTCCGCCTGTTTCCGGGCCACGTCTAGGCACTGCTCTTCGTTGGCCTGGGGGTTCTCCGCCACGAGCTTTGGGAAAGCAAAGTTCCACCACGAAAGCTGCAGGGGACCAGCTTCGACAATGGTTTGAGGTAAAGGGTTCGGGTTCCTTTTTTGAGAGTTTGGCTTGAGAAAATTGCCCACTGAATTTCCGAAAAGGATGGGAACAGGGCCGCAAACAGGCTTCCATGTTCAGGAGTCAGCTTGCCTGCATCTTGCTGTTCGCCTGATGCGCCGCGAGCTGCGGCACGATTTGGTCACGGAAGGTCTTGGACAAAGCGGAGAAGCGGTTGAACGCCGAGATTGTCTTGGGCGGGCGCCTGCCTGCAAAGGTAAGTCGTGTCTCGGGGCCCTCCGAGGGAGGGGCGCGCTCGCCACCCTCCGCTGCTTTCTTCGTGCCCTTCTTCTTGCGCTCCTTCTCGTTGGTGTCCTGCTCGGTCTTGGCGTCGTTCTTGCTGGCCGTCTTCTTCTTCTTCTTTGGCGTCCACCTCTTTGCAGCACGCTTGCTGGCTGCCTTGGCTAACGGCTTGGGCACCTCGGTCTGCACGAGCTCTGTCTTGACGGGCGCCTGGTCGTCCTCCTCCGCCTGCTCTATCTTGACCGGCACCTCTTCGTCCGAGCTTATGGCAAGATCTGGTAGCAACCTTCGTGGCTTCAAAGGAGGCGTTGACGAGGAAGTCTCAAGAATGGACGCCGCAGGCCGCTTCATTGCCCTCGTGCCAGCTCCTGCTGCTCCCCTTCCTGCCCTACCACGGCTGCTGCTTGCCTTTGAACCTCGCCCTCGCCCTCGTCCCCGTAGATGATCGCCGTCCTGGGCCTCGCCCTCTTGGATCTGAGTCTCATTGTCCGCCGGCTCGCCATGATGCTCGCCACTTGCCTCCTTGACCTTCGCAACGCGCTGCTTCGACGTCTTGAAATCTTGCTGCAGGCCTCGACGCACCATGGGCATGATGGGGATGCCGTCCTCCATGCCTGGGAAGCCGCTCTCGGACTTGACCGGGCTTGGCTGAGTTGGCGGAACGTTGTCCTCTTCCAGGTTGTTGCGCCGCTCCTCTGCGAACGAAGCCACCAAATTGGTCAGCGCCAGCGCTTCTGCGCTTGCTGCAGATTTGTCCGTCGCTGTCTTGGCTTTCTCCATCAAGTCCGCGCCGGTCTCAACCTTGTCCTGGTCATGGTCGTTCTCCATCAAGTCCGCGCCTGTGTTCTCCAGCAAGTCACCTGTCTTGGCCATTTCCTGGTCATGGTCGTTCTCCATCAAGCCACGGTCGTTCTCCAGCAAGCCACCGGTCTTGGCCACTTCCTGGTCGTGGTTGTTCTTCAGTAAGTCCGCGCCGTCCTTGTCAGGGTTTTTCTCCAGGAAGTCCCCGGCCTTGTCCTGGTCATAGTTGTTGTTGGCCGCCTCGTCCTCGAAGATCGTCTTCTCCTTGTCATGCGCAGGTGGGCTGTGAAGGGCCTCCGTCCACCCCTCCCCGAGCTGCAGCGTCTTCTGTGACTGAAAAGCCGCACGCGTAGGTGACCTGCTGCCGCTTTGGCGGCAAGCCGCTTTCTCGCTGATGCCAAGTAGATCAGCTGCTGCTTGCGCCGTAGCCTCGCTCATGGGCAGGGTGTCTGCGTTGTCCGTGCCTGGGAAACCCAAACCAAGCAGGCCGGCCCAAGCCCCAAGCTACAACTCGGACCCCGAAAAAAAAGAAAAACACAAGAAGATCGCTTTGCCCAGCCACAAACGGCCAGCGCACAAGGTGACGCCTCTGACTGGGCCAGCTTGTTCATCGAGATGCGGCGCCTGAAGAGGCGTGGACAGTGAGCCGTCCAATCCCATGCTTTTATTTCACAGCTTCATTTTTGGCCAACATAATGCTAAACAAAACAACAAATGGGTGGCCAAATTTATGAAATGGTCGTCCTCAATGTTTCCTTTTGGGTTCCCTTTCAGCCAACCCCAAAAGCGGGTGACCCCATAGCGCCTGAGAGCCTCAGCGCGGGCCAGGATGTGTGCTTTTTCTCTGCAGGGCTAGGCTCTGCTGAGTTCGATGGCTGAGGCTCAACATCATGGCCAGGCTTTGCCCAATCAAAACTGTAGGCTCTGTTTGCCCCGTCAAGGCTGCGGATTTCAGAAAGGGAGTGTCCTGCAAAGGGTCGGCGGGCGTGTCTGAGCTTTCTTTGCTCTGGGCTTGCGGGGAAGCTGGCTTCGCTTCACGGTTGGCTCCAAACTCCCACAAAGCATCCTCCCGATCCCCAGCAGCATTGCCATCCTCACTGTCATCATCGACGATCACCTCGCTGGGTTCCGTCCAATGCTCCTCCAAGATCTGGAAGAACCGTGCTAGTTCA